GCGATTTCCGTCCGAATAGTAGATCACTTCATCCTCCGATAGTATTATATATATATATATATATATATATATATATAATACTATCGGAGGATGAAGTGATCTACTATTCGGACGGAAATCGCGGGTCAGAAATTCAGTAAGTTATAACTTAGGGTAATAGAATTATTTCCACTCTCAATAACGTAAAACTCGCACCTGCTCAAATGAAGCCGTAACCATACGAAGAACGAATAACGCTCAAAAACAGATGGTGGTCTCATTGGCTTTACTGTGTAGTTAATCCACCCCCACCCNNTCACATCATCAGTGTGACTTTCGTTCTCCTCTCCCGACCCCATTCACTCAAACCATCCACCCACACACACACACCAATTACGACTCCCGCCTCCATTTGGATAATGAATTCGAACTTTTGTTTTGATAATCGTCAGTATTGTTTAATCGGCCTATTAACTTCTTGTCTTCGCATGTTCACATGTTCTAACTTTCCCTCTCCGGCTTATACCTACTGAAACACACACACACATTAAAAAATCATTCTCACCCATTTGTGAACAATTTCCACTCATCTGTATTCCAATTAGGAGAAAAAAGTGTTGGTAAACTGATTACACTGCCTTGTGAGCAAGCCTTTGAATCTATTTGTCACCATAGCCCATAAACATATATAATGTCCACTTGTGTAATTTGCATGAAGTAACTGATGATATGCGAAAGAAATGTCGCTGCAGCAGACATTTTGCATAACACCATTGGCCTTTTTCAAATTTATTCGGAGAAATCATTGTTTCAAGAAAAGCATATAGCTGCAGCAAAATCCCGTGGCCAGAAACCGTGCTCTTCCATTAGATAAGAACGTCTTAATCTGCCCCAGAAAATGCGAATCACTGAAATCAGTGAGGGGAAACAGCCGTAGACTAAATCAATATCATAAGTCACACTTGAGCATAAGATTAATGGCTAACAATATATTCACTCCAGAGATATGAGCTTAGATGTTAGACAGCGGCGAAAACCGGAGAAAGGCGGTAGTGGAATTATGAAGTCCCACTCAAGGAAAGCGCGATCAGAGTGCATCAATCACCGTTAAGTGAGTGAGTGATTTCTGTATGTACTGGAGTGTGATTGGAGCGCACGAACCACAGAAAGAAACGAGCGTCGGTCAACGAAAATCGACCATTGTGGCAGGAAAAGTCAAAATCGATAAACGACACATTGAATGTGGCATCAAGTGCAAAAATTCCGGGTTGGAAACTCGCAAAGCAATTAAGTACAAAGCAGATACCTACGAGGTTATCGGTAGAACACTGGAATATCTATCAAGAAACGACATTCAATTTAGTCCAGTTTTTACAACCATTAACCATGAACTTTCGTGCGCCGGTTTTGGTTGCTGTTTCATGACTTCCCATAAAGGGGTAAAAGGAAGATTAGAATATTCAGTTCAGTTTTAGAGTGAAAACAGAGAGTTCATGAAAGTTAAGGTTGCAAGAACAGTGAGTCGATGCACAAGCGCCAGTGTTGACGATACTCAACCATATCACTCTGTTTGACACCGACTGATATGCGAATGTGGCTTAAGACAAATACTTCTTTCTCCGCAGTCCATTTATAGGTAACGAGTGTGAATTACATGGTCAGAGTTAGATGCAAACTGGTGTGATGACGGCGAGTGTTTGGCTCAAAAAGGGATAAACACTTTAGGATGCGGAAGACAACGAACACGATTAAGGCTAACTTTAAAAGCACTATTCGACGGGTCGTCTACATCCTCACCAAGTAGACAGTGGGTATTTTTTTTTCAAACAGCCTAACGATTACGGAAGTGTACCAGTAGCCGGCAGAATAAACACGACGCAATAAGTGATGCATTCGAGAATTCCAATTACAAACAGCATAATGCTTATCGCATGATGGGAAAACCGGACAAGCAAGGCTGAGGTTAGGTGCAAAGTTTAAGTTGTTCGCGGTTGCCCACTTGAGCAGGTGGTAGACCACCATGAACTGTTTCGGTTGGGGCATGTATTGCGGGGTGGTGGCCCGGTGATAACCTCACCACACGAGGATGTGTTTGAATCTCACTATCACCGTCTAACTTTTCCTGTGAGTGTTGAATGGCAGTCTTTTGATTGGCCGCTTCCCTCTTCATGAAAATTGTATCTTTGTGCAGATTGTTGTTCGGCAGATTGAAGTTTTCTTTTCTCGACATAAAAACAAAAAATATCTGCCAAACAACAGTTTGCACAATTAGCCTTGTATTAGAAGTTCATTCGGTGGACTCCGGTGAATTCTAAGGGGAAGTCAGCTTACATGCTAATTGGTGGATGCCATATGGCTCTGTAAGTTGTTGGATGGGTAATGAGAATCTGAAAAGATCAGTGTGCTATCGGTGTGGCCTCGTAGCTCAATTGTATTTTTGTACATTCCATAAAAGGAACCAAAAATCAAAACAAAATAGATAGCGTACTGTTGGCCGAAACAGGTCTTGGGTGGGAAAAAGTAAAGGGTCGTCAAACTAAGACCTGGTATGAGGGTATGGCAACTGTGACTAGGAGACTTGCTCACATAGGCCACTTTGAGCTCCCCGGATGAGGGGATCGGCATTATTGGAATCAAACGTTGGAGACACTGAGCGATATAGCGAAGTGCGTAAACAGTGATGCTCGCGCATCTAACCCTTAGTCCTGCAACGTTAGGAGCCATGAATTCTTTTTTTCACCCTGACACTGATTTGAACATTCCAATCTTCCTTTCGCTTATTAATCCAAAAGGGGAGTTACGAGGCAGCTACCAAAGCCGGCGCATTGTTAACAGGTGAAACTGAAACTGGAATCCCACAAACACTAATGATATTTTCGCAATACAAACAAAATCATTGTCTACCAAAACAAGATTATTTTAAAAGGAGTTAATGATTGTTGAAAACTGACTGAACAAACAGATGATCGCTTTATGATGACCAAACAACTTGTGTGCTAAAAACGTCAACCCATCAAACAAATGGGATAAATTAGTTGAGGTGCACAGTGCAGTATCAGGCCAACAACAGAAACGTGAATATATGGAAATTCGATCTCTAGTGAAGCTGAAATTTTGCCCGATGGGTTTCTTTTGTTCCTCAGTACCGAAATGTGTTGCTTGATTGACAAAAGACACTTTGATTCAACTCATTTGTGGTTCGCGTAAATATGAATCCGGTTTCGTATGCATGACAAATAAGTGTGAATGGTGACAGGCGGCATGAAAACCGAGGACACATGAACACGAGGAACAAATGCTGAATGCAAATTGTGACAGTAACACAAATGCAACAACTCCATCCAGCAAACGAGTGCATTCAACCGATCGAAATAGATAACCCGGGAACTCAATCCAATTTCCAGGAGATGTACCAAAATTTCTTCAGTCCATAAACTATCTTTGACTAGTACCAGTCGCTGTCTATTGCACATCTGAGTATCCTCACGGACAACACATTTTACTCAGTGGATAGCCTAGTTTAGTTGTCTGGGAGTTACACTGAACAATCGAATTCCATAGGCAAGTTCCGTTTATCGAAAAGGTTTGATCACCATCACTATTGAAAAGGATAATTGAACTGATGGTCATAGGTTACCAGATACTTTGTCCCGTGTTTACAAACAAATGAGAAAAACCGGTCTCCGACATGCTTACGAGTATCACGGTTATTTCTTGCTCATCTACCTCCAGTAGCCAAAAAGCGTAGAAAAGAAAAAAAGGAAAATAGCTCCGAAAGTTAAGTAAACGAAAGGCAACAGTTCAATGCGTTTACATTGCCCGACTAAGTGATGCCAACCAATTAAACAGTGCAATCAAACGATGAAAAACGACAAAGTTCAGCCTAAATCACCAACATGAAATCCCTTCAACTGCGACAGATAATGACCAAAATAAGAAAATCAACAGAGTCTATAAACCAACTCGAGCAACCGTATGAAAGCTTCAATGTAGCCCAAAAGCATGTAAACGCTGATCAAAATGTTTGCGTGGATCTTTCAAGTGTGCCGTAACACACGTGGAATAGGCTGATATGGTGTGTAACCTGTCTATTCACTTTGGGTATTAAGTTCCTCAAACGAACTCGGAGAACCGAATACAAAACAGAATCCACTCAAATTACAGAAATCAGGAGGACTTACCGGCTCTCCAAATCATCTGAACTATTCAATCCGTTCGTTTTGTTCTGTGAATGCATATGACCATTCGCATCGGAATTAGTAACATCACGATTCGTTGCGAAGAAGAAATTCGAATCGCTTGTGCCTGTACAAGTTGGACTAACTCCATTGGTAGTATTTTGGGAAACGGGACTGAGGACTAAACCATTCGTTCCGGAAATCGGTGTAGTAGTCAGCTCGGGCGAGGATGAGCAATGAGCTAAAGATCCGTTCGGATCCGTTCCCATCGGGGGTGGAGGAGGACAACTGGGTGGTGGGGGCAATTCGAGCATTAGAGGAATATGTGCTGGACTGGGATTATTGTTTGTATTGGTTGGAGCATTATTGCCAGTACCGTTGTTACACTCATTCGCCCCAGACTCGTCAGATGTTTGATAGGACCAGGGATTGTACCGATCGCACAGGTGTGGAATGGGCTGTGTATCCGGAGACAGCATTTTCGTCCCGCTACGTTGTAGTTTAAGCATACGCTGACGAGCATAGGCCAACTGGAAAGCATCACCTACGATACGATTCAATTCTTCTGCCTTAAATAGGGGAAAGATAGAAACAAAAAACATTATTCCAACGGTATGAAACAGATGATACCGAAATATCAGATTAACAAGATGATAGTCCAACACACTCAGACACACTGGTGCAAATTTGGATGTGGAAAAAATTTGTTCGCCCAGAGTGGAACAAACTACTTGACAAACAGGGATAAATATGATGCGGTCGATCAAAATGTGTTACTTGTTACGACGGACTGAGTTCACTAGGAACATGATTCAAAAGGAACACTTCTCATTCAAAGCACAACATGGAGAAAATGTGATAAGAAACAGAAACATCGGAACTAATGAACATGAGTAGTGAACGTTTCTAAACAGAATGGCAAATGACACGGAAATCAAAGATAATACATTCGAAAGGAAAAGTATGCAATGTGAAGAACATGGATACGAAAGGTCGTATGTGTTATGCAGAAGATCCATTAGTATGCAACCAAACCGTGTCCCATGTAAGCGCATGTGCGCGTACATTGTGTGTATCAAGTACGAGTGAGCCAGGCAGAGGCAGAGAAACGCAAGCACGAGTTGTATC